AAAACAAGGGCTCAAGTAGAAAGAAAATGTTTTGAGAATGATGATGGCAACAAATCTAAAAATGTGCTTGACACGATGTATGTTTATGTATGGAGTTGTATGAGCCCCCAGTAAAATGATGTGGGAAACAAAGATTTCTCCCAAGCCGACTCCCCCAAATATGTTAGACTTAGGACACTGCTTGCAGCTAATAGTAAAAGTTGCTTCCCTGAGGCAATCAGCTGCCAGAAGGCTGTCTCATCCCACCACGGGTGGGCCTGCTCCCTGCTGCTGGGGACAATGGGCTACTTCTCCCTGAGGCTTATGACCATTAGCTTAGTTCCTATAGGTGGAGTTCACACCCTACTGATAATGATCTCTATCAAGTTGAGCCAGGGAACAGGTCAAACCGGCTCAATGACATCCAAAATTAAGCTGCCATCCTGAATCTAGGATCCATCCATCTTGTCACATGTTTACCCTCAATCCCTCCTCTTCCTATTGGGCGGATACCCCTAGATCACCCCCTTCCATTACTGTATTACCTATAGCACAACCCTTTCCTGTGATGTATGTCTTCACCTGTAATTAGGGAGCTTGCATGTCCCCAGAGAATATAAAAGCCTTGGTTAGCATTAAATATCTCGCTCCAAGTGGACCACCAAGCGGGGCTGACGTGAGCATTGCTACCATGAAATGTGTCTGACTCCATTATTTCTCTCTCACTTCTGTCTCTCATGCTCTCTATGACTTTACTATATATAATCTTTACTTATCATCACCATGCAATTGTGCCTACCAGACCAGTGATGATGTGCTAGGGGCAGGACTCCCCTTGCAAAATGAAAAAAAAAGATTGTCCTCACCCAGAATAATAGAAACAGAAACAGGAATAGCAAAGGCAGGCCTCTTCTCATTTCTACACTTACCTGGGACTGCCAGTTTCCCAAATGGTCCACATCTTTAATATACACATGGTAGTGCCCTCCATAGCAGCCCCCTTTGTGTATAATAATAGAGAAGAGGTCATACATGTATTCGGAGTCATCCGATTCACTCTAAAAGGAATAAGGATATAAACATTGATATCAAAACCAAAACTCACTGCCATCAGGTCGACTCAGACTCACAGGGGCTCTAGAGGCCGGGGCAGAACTGCCTCCTTAGGTCTCCAAGACTGTAAATCTTTGAGGGAGTAAAAAGCCTCACATTTCTCCTGAGGAATGGCTAGTGGTTTTGAACGGCTGACCTTGACGTTGGCTGTCCAACTCATAAGC